GGGGGGGGGGGGGGAGCATTAAATTTATATTTTGAAAAGATATCTTCTAAAGGTCAAAATTTCCAGTACAACAATTATTTGCACTTTAAGCATCTGATCTCACACAGTTATATTGATACCTGTCGAATATTCTTCGTTCTAGAGTGTTATTGAGCGGGTGGACCCATTTGGCAATGGCAGTTGCATTTCAGGGGCTGACTTCAAAGATAATATCTACGCAAAGAAGTTTAATACCACATACTCCAGACAGGTAAATATTTGGAATAAGGGTTATTGTAAAAACGAAGTAATTTCTTCTAAGATTGCATAACACAGTGTACACCAAAATGTGATTAGTAATTAGTTTACAGACCTAACTTAAAATTTGAGGATAGAGAGTTTAAGCATGACGTTACGGCAGACGGCAAACGGCAAAGATTACCTCTGATTTTTTTTTTTCTTTTCTTGTCATAAATCACACAAAAATTGAAAAACGTCTTGTACTATTTACCGCAAATAAAAATATTTTCACTCTACTGTACAGACAGCTGAAGACAGACGGTAAAAGTTTCATTTTTGCCTTTTGCCGTTTGACGTAACGTCATGCTTTAAAATCTCTCTATTGGTTGAGACATTCACTTATTAAAATTAGCCAGAAAGTAAATAAAGCAAAGGCAGCAAGTGCTTGTAAATGACTAATATGCATATGACTGGATTTATTTCTTTTTTTAAATGTTTTTTGTATTTAATTAATTTTCATTGACTTGAAGTTACTTACATTTTTTTTTTGCAAAGACACATAGTTTATAAACAAACAGGTACATCATGCATTTACATACGTACACCTCAGTTGCTCTTAACTCACTTCTCACCTTCAGATATAATAGTAATACAGCGCAGCAACAACACGAGACTGTCAATCTAACTGTTTTTGTACGTGCCCCATTTCATACTGTGAGTTTTTAATTTATTAGTTGATTTTGCGATCATTGCCTCAAGCAGGTGGATCATTTTAATTTTGGAATTAAATACTGTATTTATGAAATACGGGTCAATACCTGCCATATGCACTTGAGGACGCCATTTCTTCAACACTGTTCTCACACATCCAGACATACATGTGTTCTATGTTAATTATAGGGCTCACACCCTTCGCCTTAATTCTAAAAAGTTTAATTAATTAAATTAAATTAATTGATTGATTTACTAATTTATGTATGATGTATACATAAATCATGATTGCTTGATTCACTTGTTTCTCTCAAATAGGCTTGTTTGAATTCATGTCTTGCTAAGAAGCAGATTACAGAATGTGGATGTACAGAAGCTCAATTTCCAGCTGACGCAGATGTATGTGATATAAGGAACACTTCTACAGGTAATTACAGTTAGTGTAATAGTATAATATTATAGTAATATAAAACAATACAATATATATAATACATGGGTCTTTTATAAGCTGAGCCTGTTGCTTGTCGCTGTTGATTTGAGTAGTCTGTCTAGTATAATCATGTATTTGGAAAACATGAATGTCTCAACTAGGAAAAGTTGTGTTTCTGTTAGAGCTAGTTTTAGAGATACATATCAAAAACTATGCGAAAGTATTCAAGAAGATACAACAAATAGAACAAAGCATCTCTAAGACATGGCGGAAAAATCATTTTGGAGAACTGATTTCTTTAATTGATTGTGCTCGTCACAATGTCGATCGATAGAGCGTTTCAACGGCGCCGTTTTGGTGTTTCCATGCGATAGGAAATGAATAGGAGATGAATTTTCAACGAAGAGAACTTAAGCTGTTAAAGAACACCAACGTGACGCCATGCCAAAATGGTCAATATTTCATAGTTGATTTAAATTTCAGAATGAATTTCGTAATGCGTCAGTTTTCCATTTGTTGGGTCCAGTAAGTTTAAATTGTTGGGTTGTTCCACTTGAACCTATATCAGTATTAACTTATTCTGGATATAAGTATTAACTTATTCTGGACATTCAAAACAAAGAAGGAGTAGTTCTAATAATCGAGAAATGTAATTACTCTCTGGTTAATTTTTATGGATAATTCAAGGGGATGCGTCTTTGTGTTTAAGTCTGAGGAAATACACTCTACTTCATTCTTGAAAACTTTAAAAAATAATCGCTCTGAAACTTTTGTAATGGCCCCTACAAACTTCCCTCTTAAATCTCGGGTTGTTTTAACAAGTAGAGTCTCATTCGTTTGTATGATATTCCTAATTTTCTCTTCATTCTAAACCTTCGTTACCTTCTTGTATCGTATGTGGACTAATAACTTATCCTTCTCTGTCTCTCGTCTAATTTTTCTAGCGAAGTGTTTGGATGTTTTACTGCGAGATCTATTATCAGGAGAACTGAACTGTGAAGTAACTTGTCCAACACCATGCACGTATGTTGTCTACATGTAAATCATTAATTACCTTCACATTGTACTAAGCTCATTTATACGTGTTGCAAGACATATTTACTCTAAGATCCATTCAGCGCAGAATGCAAAGCATGGTTTGATAGCGTGGGGCAGAAGCCTGTTGCCGCAAAAGAGCAGCCGCACTGCCGTATAATGCAAATTCTAAACCGAATTGAAAGCTGTTACTGTTGCAGTTTTAGTTGTTGTTGTTGTTGTTGTTGTTGCGGCTGCTGCTGTGTTGAGATGTGCTTTTTTATATGTGTCTACTACGCCAAAATTATTTCTAACTTGTTTGTTGCTTGTTGCGCTAAAGCCTACTGTATTTTTTTTCTCCAGTGAAGTCATATTCAGGACTTCGCTATCGATGAGCCAATGGCCTTCATTTGGATATGAGGTGAATAATTGGTGGTATTACGATAATGATGATAAGCACGATGATGATGATCATGATGATGATCATGATTTAAATTAAACAGCATTGCGCGTTTCCCCTCCCTCCCCTCCCCCCCCCTTCCCACAGGAAGTAAAATGATATTACAGTTGTTTTTGCTTTCTGTGTTTGACTAGAATGAAGCACAGAAACAAAAACAAAAAAACAACAACAACAACAACAAAACCAGATGAAATTAAATGATAAGCAAATGAAAGATGGGAAGGAAGAGGTTAGGGCGGATAAACTTGGGTGATATGAATTCATGGTTACTTGTTGCACGGTTACTTGTCCGTAGAAATATCAAACCATCTGAGTTATTTTATTCAGGAAATTCTTGAGCAAAAAGTCCAAAACAAAGAAGTGTACACATCAGAAGGAGACTTTGGATACTACCTCAGGCAAGTTAAAACACTTGGTTATATAGAGACTAAGTAGCAGCCAAATAACGATCTATTTTACTTATACTGCGAATCTTCTTTTTCAGAGAGAACTTTCTCGAAGTAAGAATATTTTTCGAGCAACTCAATTTCGAAAGAGTCGTCGAGAGAGTTAGCTACAAGGTAATTTAATGACGTTCAGCATTTCAGAATTTGTAATTAACACTTCTGCTACGCTACCATGTAGCCACTTTGTTGAGCTGGTGGGGTATCTGTTTTATCGGTCTCTATAATCAGTTACAACAATCACATAGCACTAGTGTTATTTCGGTTTGGCAGGAAGTCAACCTCGTGGCAGACATTGGAGGGCAGCTGGGACTCTGGATTGGCATTTCAGTGTTGACATGCTGCGAGTTGCTGGAGCTTATTCTCCTAATTATCCAAACTGTTTTTAAAAGGATGTTCTCAACGAACATTATACACGTCAAACCTGCTTGACAGTGATCTGACGGAGACATTTCCTGATATCTACCCCTTTTACATCGTAGCAGGCAGCTCAAGAATTGAATTTACGCCCATGCTATTTTAATTAGTCAAGTTTTCTGTACAATTTATAGTGGATTCGAGTCGACTTATGGCTCAAACTGCATGTAGAGCCTATTACCTGGCTAATGCATAAGAGTTACTTAGTAAGCTAGTGGTACCGAATTTGTGATCAGTAAGTTCCCACCAGCAGTTCCAGACACGTGCTTCTGATTTACCTCAGCTCTTGCAAAGGCGGAACAGCCGCTTTGAAGTTTCTGGAAATAAACAGTTTTAACTACATTAGCAACTAGTAACTCGTCGATGGACGGCAAAATTCCCAGTAAAACGTTTTGGTCATTGGTGTATCAGATAGTCAAAGGAGGTTTACTTATTTTATTTTGTCACTTAGTTTAGGTGATCTCGAGGCGACAATTATTAAGCTGTTGCATACACGTATTGTCATGAACGATCGTCTCCAGGGTTTTCAATTTTTAACTTTGTAATTCGGGGTCAATGGGGCGATAGTTCCAACATATACAGAAAATAATCCAGTAGTATTCATTGACCAAGTGGGAAGTCTACAAAGAAAACACATATTCTTTCAAAGGTAACCGTGATATTGTGGCTTAGAATTTTTAAAGAAATGTGAAACGTCATTTTATTTGCTGTTTTGCAACTCGTTGGACACCAAATAAAATCTATTATAGCTTCTGTGTAGTTTGTCTAAACGGACTCTCTTGGTTACGCTACTCAAACCGCGCATACTTTTCTTTTCCCTTGTGTGGTCGTGGCAGAGTTAATAGTGCTTGATGGGAATGATTATGAAGCCCAACGAAGTGCTTTGCTACATGTATATGTTCTTTTTTTATCTTTTTTGTTTCTTTGTTTTTCTGTTTTCTGCAGTGCGCAAAACACAACAAGCGTTTCCTTCTGCCTGACCAACCAATAAAAGCCTTTCGGTTAGGCAACTCACGTCTAGTGTATGAGCGCAAAACAATAGATTGTGGACCTACCAACACAAACCCTTCTTCAGATCAGTTGAAGTGTAAGGGGCTTTATAGCTATTTCCCTTTAATAATTATTGCCAGGGAATGTGAAGAGGGGAAAAACATCTCATGTACTAATATTTTAAATCAATATGATAAGAAATTCATTCTTAGATGTATGTTAACAAAGACAATTTTTGTTTGTGTTCCATCACGTTGTAGGCTACAACAATCCCAAAAAGTTGAAACTTGAGGGCTAACAAAAGGCTAAATTGCGAGAGAAGCGATGCACCCATTTTCACAAGTCGTGTCCTTGGCACTGGCAACTTTGATTTGAAAGATGTGAACTTCGAAAACCACCTAGGCCTGGCTCGTCTTGGGGGTGAGAGATTCTCGCCCATATCAACTTTCTTTTCTCTCTCCACACTCACGTTTTAGGTGCAGGATTCCCAACCAATGCTTACCTAACTTTTCAAAGATGCTACTCTTAGCCCTCCCCCAAATCTACTCACGTGTATTCCACTTGTGGAAAACTATCGATTTGCACAGTGTTTAGGTTGGAGATTCTCGCCCATATCAACTTTCTTTTCTCTCGTAAGTTCTCGCGCGTTTAGATATGCGCCGCACTCGCGTTTTAGGTGCAGGAATCCCAACCAAAGCTTACTGGACTGTTTAAAGATGCTATTTTTAGCCCTTTCCCAAATCTACACACCTGTATTTCACTTGTGGAAGTCTATCGATTTGGATAGTGTTTTGTTTAGAGATTCTCGCGCATATAAACGTTCTTTTCTCTCGTAAGTTCTCGCGCGTTTGGAGATGCGCCACACTCGCGTTGTAGGCGCCAGGATCCCAAGCAATGCTTACCTAACTTTTGAAAGATGCTACTTTTGGCCCTCTCCCAAATCTACACACGTGTGTTTCACTTGTGGAAGTCTATCTATTCAGATAGTGTTTGGGTTGGAGATTCTCGCGCATATTAACTTTCTTTTCTCTCATAAGTTCTCGCGCTTATAGAGGTGCGCCGCACTGGCGTGTTAGGTGCGGGGATCCCATCCAATGCTTACCTAACTTTTGAAAGATGGTACTTTTAGCCCTCCCCCAAATCTACATACGTGTATTTTACTTGTGGAAGTCTAGCGATTTGGACAATGCTTGGGTGAGAGATTTTCGCCCATATCAACTTTCTTTTCCGTCATAAGTTCTCACGGGTTTAAAGATACGCCGCAGTCGCTTTTTAGGTGCAGGAATCCCAACCAAAGCTTACTGGACTTTTTAAAGATGCTACTTTTAGCCCTTCCCCAAATCTACACACCTGTATTTCACTTCTGGAAGCCCATGGATTTGGGTTGTGTTTGGGTAAGAGATTTTCGCCCATATCAACTTTCTTTTCTCTCCTAAGTTCTTGCCCGTTTAGGGATGCGCCACACTAGCGTTTTAGGTGCAGGGATCCCATCCAATGCTTACCTAACTTTTTAAAGATGCTACTTTTAGCTCACCCCCAAATCTACACACGTGTATTTGCCTTGTGGAAGTCTATCGATTTGGACAGTGCTTTGGTAAGAGACTCGCGCATATCAACTTTCTTTCCTCTCGTAACTTCTCGCGCGTTTAGAGATGCGCCACACTCGCGTTTTAGGTCTAGGGATCGTAACCAATGCTTACTGTACTTTTTAAAGATGCTACTTTTAGCCCTATCCCAAATGTACACACGTGTATTTTACTTGTGGAAGTCTATCGATTTGGATTGTGTTTGAGTGAGAGATTCTCGCTCATATCATTTTTTTTTTCTCTCGTAAGGTCTCGCGCGTTTGCAGATGAGCTACACTTACGCTTTAGGTGGCGGATCCCATCCGATGCTTACCTAACTTTTCAAAGATGGTACTTTTACCCCTGCCCCAAATCTACACACGTGTATTTCACTTTTGGAATTCTATCGATTTGGACAGTGCTATGGTGAGAGATTCTCGCAGATATCAACATTTTATTCTCGTAAATTCTCGCGCGTTTAGAGATTCGCCACACTCGCGTAGTAGGTGCAGGAATTCAAAAGAATGCTTAGTGGACGTTTTAAAGATGGTAATTTTAGCCCTTTCTCAAATCTACACACCAGTATTTCACTTGTGGAAGTCTGTCGATTTGGATGGTGTTTGGGTTGGAGATTTTGGCGTATATCAACTTTCTTTTCTATCGTAAGTTCTCGCGCGTTTAGAGATGCGCCGCACTCGCCTTTTAGGTGCCAGGATCCCAAGCAAAGCTTTCCTCACTTTTGAAAGATGCTACTTTTAGCCCTGCCCCAAATCTAAACACGTGTCTTTTACTTCTGGAAGTCTGTCGATTTGGACCATGTTTGGGTTAGAAATTCTCGCGCATTTCAACTTTCTTTTCTCTTTTAAGCTGTCGCACGTTTAGAGATGCGCCACACTCGCGTTTTAGGTGCTAAGATCCTATCCAATGCTTACCTAACTTTTGAAAGATCCTACTTTTAACCCTTCCCCAAATCTACACATGTGTATTTCACTTCTGGAAGTCTATCGATTTGGACAGTGCTTGGGTGAGAGATTCACGCCCATAACAAATTTTTTTTCCTCGTAAGTTCTCGCCGGTTTAGAGATTCGCCACACTCACGTAGTAAGTGCAGGAGATCAAAACAATGCTTAGTGGACTTTTTAAAGATGTTACTTACTTACTAAAGATGTTACGAAATCTACACACCTGTATTTCACTTGTGGAAGTATATCGATTTCGAAAGTGTTTTGGTTGGAGATTCTCGCGCATATCATGCGATCAACTGTCTTTTCTCTAGTAAGTTCTCGGACGTTTAGAGATGTGCCACACTCGCGTTTTAGGTGCGAGGATCCCAAGCAATGCTTACCTAACTTTTGAAAGATGCTACTTTTAGCCCTTCCCCAAATCTACACACGTGTGCTTCACTTCTGGAAGTCTATCGATTTGGACAGTGTTTTGGTTCAAGATTCTCGCGCATATCAACTTTCTTTTCTGTCGTAAGTTCTCGCGCTTTTAAAAATGGGCCGAACTCGTGTTTTGGGTGCAGGAATCCCAACCAATGATTACTAGACTTTTGAAAGATGATACTTTTATCCCTCCCCCAAATCTACACACGTGTATTTCACTTGTGGAATTCTATCGATTTGGATAGTGTTTGGGTTGGAGATCCTCGCCCATATCAACTTTCTTATCTCACGTAACTTCTTGCGTATGTAGAGATGCGCCACACTCGCGTCTTAGGTGCGAGAATCCCAAGCAATGCTTAGCTACCTTTTAAAAGATGCTACTTTTAGCCCTCCCCCAAATCTAGACACGTGTTTTTTTTTTTTTTTCCACAAGTTAAAACCTGTGGAAGCCTATCGATTTGGATTGTTTTTGGGTGAGAGATTTTCGGCCATATAAACTTTCTTTTCTGTTGTATATTCTCGCGCGTTTAGAGGTGCGCCGCAATCGCGTAGTAGGTGCAGGAATCCCAAACAATGCTTACTGGACTTTTAAAGATGCTACTTTTTGCCCTTCCCCAAATTTACACACCTGTATTTTACTTGTGGAAGTCTATCGATTTTGATTGTGTTTGGGTTGGAGATTCTCGCGCATATTAACTTTCTTTTCTCTTGCAAGTTTTCTCTCCTAAGTTCTCGCGCGTTTAGAGATTCGCCACACTCATGTTTTAGGTGCGGGGTTTCTATCCAAGGTTTACCTAAGTTTTCAAAGATGCTACTTTTAGCACTCCCTCAAATCTACACACGTGTATTTCCCTTGTGGAAGTCTATCGATTTGGACAGTGCTTGGGTAAGAGATTCTCGCCCATATTAACTTTCTTTTCTCTCGTAAGTTCTTGCGCGTTTAGAGATGCGCCACATCGCGCGGTTTTGGTGTTGGGATCTCAAACTATGCTTACTGGAGTTTTTAAAGTTTCTAGATTAGGCGCTTTTTTGAATCTTTACCCGTGTATTTCACTTGTGGTAGTCTGCTGCTTTAGACAATGCTTGGGTTGGAGACTCTTGCACATTTATATTTTTTTTGTCTCGCGTGTTTTCGCGCGTTTAGAAATACGCCAAACTCGCGATTCGGTGTCAGCATCTCAAACTACGCTTACTAGACTTTTTGAAGATGCTAGATTTGGCCCTGTCTTAAATCTACACACGTGTATTTCACTTGTGGAAGTCTATCGATTTGGACAGTGTTTAAGTTGGAGATTCTCGCCCATCTAAACTTTCTTTATCTCGTAAGTCAGTGGCGCCTGTAGAGATACACCACCCTTGCGTTTTAGCGCGGGGATCCCAACCAATGCTTACCTAACATTTTAAAAGATATCACTTTTAGCTCCCTCCCAAATCTATACACGTGTGTTTTACTCGTGGAAGTCTATCGATTTGGACAGTGTTTGAGTTGGAGATTCTCGCCCATATTAACTTTCTTTTCTCTAGTGAGTTCTCGCGCTTATAGAGATGCGCCACACTCGCGTTGTAGTACGGGGATCCCAACCAATGCTTACCTAACTTTTTAAAGATGCTACCCTTAGCCCTCCCCCAAATCTACTCACGTGTGTTTCACTTGTGGAAATCTATAGATTTGGACAGTGTTTGGGTTGGAGGTTCTCGCCCATATCAATTTTTTTTTTTCTCGTAAGTTTTGGCGCTTTTAGAGATGCGCCACACTCGCGTGTTAAGTGCGGGGATCCCAACCAATGCTTACCTAACTTTTTAAAGATGCTACTTCTAGCCCTTTCCCAAATCTACACACCTGTATTTCACTTGTGGAAGTCTATCGATTTGGACTGTGCTTAAAGTCGCCGAGACCGGGCTACAAGCAGCGTGATTTGAACCAACTTTGGGTCTATTTGCAGTATTTTGGGCAATATTTAATTTCCGAGTCCCAGGGACTCTAACTAAATCCAGAACACTTTGGTTTTCAGTGAAATGCAAAGAGGAAAAAGTTTTGAACGCTTGGTTATGAGCAGTCTGGCCGAAATATAGCCCCGCTTTAACTTATTTAGTGACTAGAAAGTCGCCGAGACCGGATTTTGACCAACTTTGGGTCGATTTAATTTCCGAACACATGGGCGATATTTCCGAGTCCTAGGGACTCTAAACTAATTGGAGAAGGCTTTGGTTTTCAGGGAAATGCACAGAGGAAAAATATTTGAACGCTTGGTTATGAGCAGTCTGGTTCAAATATAGCCACTTGGTGACTAAAAAGTCGCCGAGAGCAGGGTAAGCGCAGTGTGATTTTGACCAACTTTGGGTCGATTTGCAAGAACTTGGGCGATATTTTCGAGTGCCAGGGACTCTAAACTAATTCGAGAAGACTTTGGTTTTCAGTGAAATGGACAGAGGAACAAATTTTCAACGCTTGGTTATGAGCAGTCTGGCTGAAATATAGCCACTTAGTGACTAGAAAGTCGCCGAGACCGGGCTACGCGCGGCGTAATTTTGACCAACTTTAGTTCGATTTCCAGGAACTTGGGCAATGTTTACGAGTCCCAAGGACTCTAAACTAGTTCGAGAAGTTTTTGGATTTCAGTGAAATGGACAGAGGAAAAATTTTTGAACGCTTGGTTATGAGCAGTCTGGCCGAAATATAGCCACTGGCCTGTGCGCATATTTGCTCTCCCAGTAGAACGGAATGTAAATCAAATAACAAGACAGGGTAAGAAATGCAGGTGTCATCCTTGAGCAAACCTAAAAGTTCACTTATAAGACTCGAAACTACTGTCCTTGTAGTTCTCATGTCAAAGCTCAGATAAACTGAGTCCTAGATTCCAATTCTATCGCACCAATAATTAGACCGTTCGAGACTTGTGAAGAGGGATCTTTTAAATAAATTTTTCTAGAAGAATACCTACATATCTCCCATAGTTGTTGTTGTTTTTGATTATTTTTTTTAGTTTTTTCGAAACGGAGAGAGTGAGTCTGTATCTGGGTGTCAACTGCAAAGATTTGAAACGCAGCGAGAGAGTCAGAATTACACTGGAAACGTCTGTAGTTCACTTTTTTTGTAAAAATATTAGCATTTGATGCGCGGCATGTTTTTGTTGTGGTACGCAAATTTTAATATAAAACATCACTTCATTAAAAATGGATAGATGTAAGAGACTAGACTAACAAATTTAAATATTTTTTTTTATTTTGTTAAACTTCCAACTTCTGATGTTACCCGTCTTGCGTGGTTGCCAAAGCCTCGCGGTCCCAAGACATCAAACTTTAGAAGTTGGATACCTTAATTGTAAAAGCCATTTACCTTTGTACCTGAATTCATCGTTTTCACTCGTCAATTTTTAATGAAGTGATGCTCCACATATATATTTTTTTCTCTTTCCGTTTTGCTATTCTTTTTTAGGACATTAAATAGAGAACGTAAAAATAATTGTAAAACGTCATTTTACTGGTTCTGCATCCGTCTGATAAAAAGCACTGACAAAGTTGACTAAATTTACTCAAAAGAACAAAATCCTCATATATTTCTTTTCTCACGCTGAGAGGTACAAGGCGATTTAATTGGTTCCTCCGTCACTTAAAAAAATCGGTTTATTATTCATCTCGTATGATTGGTTAAATTTACATGACTCTTTCATTGAATATCATAACGGTGAATAAACGCAGCATTTGCTAAAAGGTTCTGCAAGATGCTGGCAACATTGTTTGTGTCAAACCGCGCAAAACAGTCTGTAACCGTCTGCCTTCCATCATCTAACAAGGTACTTATCTTTTTAGCGACCTTTTACTAATCTTGACTTCTTGTGTATTAACCTGTAAAAACGACCATTGGACTAAGGTTTAAAAAAGCGTTGAATTATAACATTCTTTAAAGAGTGGCTGAACGTTGTAAATTGCTATTAATTATTGACACAAGGCAGTTGAAGGTATTTAGTTACGGAAAACGTGCTAAACAGCGGTATCCTGGCAATACGTTTCCTTTTACTTCAGTGGATCTAACAATCTTGAAAGATTATAAAGAGGGCATAAACAAGGAATATCGACATACCACTTAAACTTTACAACTCTCAAAATGCGTGGACCTGTTTATCTCATCTTTATTAATTTTGTTGAAGCATGCTTTGAGATGGGATACGTGCATCCAGTAACATCCATATTTCAATCATTTTGGAGATATCGTTAAAATATAATGGAGTTGTCTAAACTTAAAAGTTACGCAGTTTACGTTTAGTGTATATCTAGAACTGTAACAACTTTTTGCATGAACAAAAAACTCCTATTTACAATTATAAAATTATGTTAGTTTTCCGAGCTGCCAGAAGCTTCAAACACCGAGTTTTCGTATAAGAATAGCACTTATCGTTGAAACAAAAAATAACTCTATGTAATTGTAAATCGTACTTATAGTGGTCATGCACTTAGCTATACAAGCACTAAGCTCAGCTAGTTTACAGCCATGCCGCATCCGAACTATCGCCTGCGATAAAGAGCTGCTTAGACGCTATTCGTCCAGCTGTGAGTTAAGTTGTGTCAAGTCATGCTTGTAGAAATAACCCGCTGTTAACTACATAAGAGACTTGCTAGTAGTCTTAAATCTGTCTCGCATCAGTTTAACAGCATCCCAATTACTCTACCCTGAAAGAAGCCAAATTACATATGCGAGAAGCCTGTGTCTTTCGCAGTCAAAGCCCCATAATCACTGGCTTGTTTACCGACTTACCACTCCGAAGCATTTTGATTATGGCTCCTGGTATCCCGTGAGGGTTGTTAATGAATTACTGAAAATAAATAATATCGACGATGCTTTTAAACCATTCCTTCCCCAGGTTTTCTACCAATTTTGATAGTTCTCGAAAATTCTTTAGCCTCATGTCCTGAAGAGGCTTGAATAAAAGAAAAAAAGAAAGAAAAAAGGAAAAAACTTATTGAAGCACCCACTATCTACTCGAATGGATTTTTTTTGTTGTTTTCCAGTCTTCTTCAGTTTTCCAGTCTATGTTAATAGTTGTTCTCAATTATTTACTCTTGTGTCTTATAGAGGTTTGAATAAAAATAATAATAATAATAATAAAAATAAAAAACAGAAAAGAAAGAAAGAAAGCAAGAGACAACGAAAGAAACTTATCTATGCATTCACTATCATTTATTATATGGCTAGCTCTGTGATTGGCTACCCGAGCAGGCAAGATGGAGCTATCTTGCCCGCTCGGGACTACCCGCCGTGTCCCGTAGGAAAAATTTCCCCGAAAGCCATATAATAAATCCTTTATTGACCAAGCTTGTTCGGTCAAGATGGCTTCATTTGGTCTCGTTCTTTTTTTTGCGAGTTTATGGACCTCGACTCCGTCTCGGTCCATAAACGCGCAAAAAAAGAACTTGGCCAATATCCAGCCATCTTGACTGAACAAGCTTGGTCAATAACCCATACATATTGAAAAGTCCGTTTATCATGGATGTTAATCGCGGGATTTTAATGCACATATATTGTGCTTCCTTGGACTAAGGGGGATGAATCAATGTACGTTCTTAATTTTTTTTCTTCTTTCTGATTCGCTGACGTTTATTTCGAAATGAATACAAATTATAAAGAAAACTCTAATATACCACCACCTCCACTAAATTATAAAAACAGCAAATAAAACTTGTCCCAGTTTATGTTTTGTTTAAAACATTACTTACTCAAGCAAGAGCAGACGAGGATGTTCGCCTCTAGAAAATTCTAACCAAAGGTCATTTAATTTATTTTCCTCAGTAATAGTATCTAAAGAACACATGGCCAAACTGGCAGCCGAAAACGACAAACAAAAGGCGGTCGCTTCCAAAAAGCCTTCAGTCAAAGAAGTGATATCTACCTTCTGTGGGTACACTACCGCTCATGGTCTTGGGAGGTTGGCAGATGGTGGTGGTGTTTTTCGTCGAATAGCATGGAGTCTGTTTTGCATTGGCGCCCTTACCATGTTTGTAGTGCAGACCTACAACTTGTTTGCAATTTACTTACGCCGACCTGTGTCAACTGTAGTTACCGTCCAACACGATAGTGTAAGTATTCGACGTGTGCATTGCTGTTTTACATTCACTCATTACATAGTAAGGAATTGGGAAAAGATTCGACGATACATGATCGTCATTACAAAATAGTTTATTTTATGTGATATTTATGAATACTAGGCGAGTCTCTTCAAAATGTTAGAACACGTTTGGTATCAAAACGAGAAAATTCCACTCAGCGTAGACAAGACAATGAACTCTTTATTGTCGGGAAAGCCTTCAAAGGAGATCTTTCCTTCAAGAGGGAAAATTGGGAAAAATGAATTTATTAACAACTGATCGAACACTTCCAAGGAGATCAGTCGTAAATGGCCTGTCAGAGGATCTTTACCTTTGTTTTGTTTTATTTTGTTTTGTTTTGTTTTGTTTTTGTTCACTTGTGTGTTTGTTTTTCGGTGACAAAAATGACCCTGTAAAAAAAGAAATGAAAGTTAAAAAAAAAAAAAAAAAACCGTCTCGGTTGGCCATTCGGTTAGTTAACCGGCCCAGCCATTGTCACTGGTCAGTCCACCGATATGGTTGCTTGGACACGTTTGCACCACATGTATACAAAACTGAACTTACTCTGTTCAGTACCTTCATAGGTAAAAATAGTTGCCGTGACTTTTGTTCGATATCTGTAAGTTCAGGATTATGAAATATTGTGAACTTCTCCTTTATTAGCATGTCAGATTTCCAGCTGTGACCATATGCAATTTAAATATGATTCGACTTGACAAGCTTCCGGATAACTTCATAGATGAAATTTTGGAGGAACTTAAGCTAGAAGGTATGGATATCTCTTACTTAATCAATCATGTTATGTAAATAACTATTTTTACATAAACGTGAACGTGTAAATTTAAATATTAGACCTAATTTGGATTTGGAAAGCTTTGCGGAAGGTGCTGTTTTAATGTGTTTCCCTTTAGATGCCACATTTCTCACTGTATGATCTTTACATAATTAAAAAAAAAATCGCGGACAACTTTTAGAGATGTACGGACAGTTTTCCAGAGAGTGGAAAAATGGCAAAAATTTGGAAAGTTGAACGTAGCAAGTTATTCTGGCAGGCGACCATCTGGACATATAGATGAGAGCTTTCTGCAATTCTCTTGCTCACCACTATCAATGGATCTTGATTTAATTTGACTGCTATCGTTGACTTCTTTGATTGGTCCTTCACTTTAGTCCTTCTATTTCATTCTTTCACTTCTGTTGCCAAAGCTTCCCCTCTTCTCTTTCCATTTCAGCACTAAAGCCAAACAATGATTCCGAAGCAGCTAACAGTACATCCGGACCTGGTGCCACTGCTCCCACCAATTCAAACTCGGCCCCTCATACACTTCCAACTGATTCGTCGACCCAAGAAACACTGCAACCTTCCTCTGATGGAAGCAACACCACAGATGTCCCCACTGGTCCCCCCACAGATGGGACTACCTATCCTCCATATGACTACGACTATTACGACTATGACTACTTTGACTACGATTACTATGACTACGGTTACTGGGATTACGACTACGATTATTACTTTGGTGGGCTTGGGGAGGAAACCAAAGAACAGGAATACGAAATTGAAGAAGCTATCCGTGCCGAGCTGGCACTAAAAAACGATTCAATGATAGTCGAAATGGGGCATCAGTTTGAGGATCTCGTCTTTGAGTGCTCGTTTCGGGGATATGACTGCAGGTCAATTCATAGTACTAAAATGTTAAAGATAATGCAGGAATATTAATATTGATATAAAATTCTAATAATAAAGGGCAAATAATCCCCTACTATCAACATGAATTTGAGCGACTTTCGTTTTGTGTTAAACTTGAACTAAAATATATCCTTTGATACATGGGGTAACTTAATTGTATCATTGTATTTAATTAGCATTGCTTCAGGATTTCAAAAGTACACCTAAAGACGAAAACTTGATTTTTAATTTAAAGAAATACAATTTAGCTTCAATGAAAATACCAAATTCGCAGTAGACCATTTAAAGTAGAACACATGGTCGCTAATTTTGAACCATTTCAACTTTTTAGGAACTATTCGCGGTATTGGCATCGTCTTTGGGACTATCGCTATGGCAACTGCTACACTTTTAATGGTGGTATAGATGACAATGGTGAAAAACAAAGAGTTCTGTCTTCCCACGTCACTGGGCCAACGGGCGGTAATAGTTTCTGACTTGTAAATGTTGCTATCCTTGAACAGTTAGGGGACGCAAGTTTTTTGATAAAGAAAGGGTTTGACCCAGCGAAGTAAACCGACTAATATCCGGCTTTGAATGGATATAACTCTGAACTATAATTGTGTGTTTCTTACTTTGGAGCTAGATATCGAATTTCGAACTGATTCTGAACATTAGCTTGACGTCAGCTGGTTACCTGAATTAATTACTGATTAACCTACCAAACGTTTCTTAACTTGCAATAATACTATACAAGAATGACAAGCAAATATACACGCAGTAATCGAGTCTTTGTTTAAAATTCACCCAAATAAGCCATAATCTTTAGATTTTGTGTTACTTTTTTTCAGTTCGTTGTTAACAACCCTTTGGTGCTCTCTTGTTGATAAATTTTGATACTAATTATTGTTTTCAAGTGCTGCAAACAATAATTTCCACGTTTTCTTTTACTTCAAAGCGTACGTTATTTAATTTTTAACTGAATGCGTGTACATCGAAAGTTTTGAAATCTTTTTAATCATTCTGTTACTTATCTTCATCTTTTATTAGGTCTTAAGTTGAATCTATTTATAGAGCAGTCGCAGTACATCCCAGAACTAAGTGATACAGCTGGGGCAAGAATTGTGGTTCATGATCAAGGGCAAATGCCATTTCCTAACAATGAAGGTTACAGTGTACTGCCAAGCCGATCCACTTCATTTGGGATAAGAAGGGTAAACCATAGAGCTGCTATATTTGGATAAAAGGCCTATTACTTACTGTAGTAGAAGTGTTTGGTTTAATCTGAAAAATTAATGGGACAGGCCGATAGAGGACTGATGATAATGTTAGAACTTGTGATGTTGTAATTTTGGTCTGATTGTTCTTATATAAAAGGTACCATATTTTAAGTGTGTCAAATGCATCATGTTCTGAAACGGGGCAAGAAGTTAAATTTGAGTGTTTCAAGACTCATGGATTTTTGCCTTTTTTACGTCGAAGAAGAGAAGTTGTTGTACCTGACCACTTACAGCAGCAACTCAAAAAATGTTTATATATTTTTTTGGCCCTCAAACTAACTGGGTATTATTTTTTGAGATTACTGAATTCCTTTTATTCTTCCCTATAGAGCATTATCGACAGGGTAGATCCCTTTGGTAACGGGAGCTGTGTGTCAGAGAAGGACTTAAACAGTGACAACATGTATGTCAAGAAATACGGCGCTTCTTATTCCAGACAGGTAATACATATTCCATGTATGATTCTGTACCACTGCCTCTAAATTTTCGAGTAATAACATGTAAGTATCGTTTCGGAGCGTATCTGGCAATTATTTTCATCTAAATTCTATTACTATAGAAATGTCAAGCCTATACACATCATAGATATTGTTTTTAAGAAGCTGACATGACCGGTAAATATTCTTGCAATAACTTTTCCCCATGAGTTTTTCTTCGTTTGTAATTTTGTTTGTTTCTTTATCTGTTGGTTGTCGTTGTTGATACTACTTGTTTTGCAATATCACATTTAAACTCATCACCCATTTACAATTAGTTGATGGGCTAATGTGGTAAAAAATATCTTCGGTAGAGACATATCTTAAACTTCTTCGCTTATTTAAATAGCCATTATTTTTATTTCTTTTAAAGACCTGCTTGAACTCGTGCCAGGCCGAAAAACAAATCTCAACCTGTGGATGTGCCGAAGGCCAGTTTCCATCTGATGCAGAAATATGTAACTTGCGAAATTCGTCAACAGGTGAAAACGATAGAAAAGGGATAAACTGAAAACTGGACGGACCGACAAACAAACGAACATGCGACCTACTGGCTGACTGACTACTAAAGTGATCGAATAGCTTGTAATGACTGTTTTAAATACATCATACAACAGTGCCTATGCAACAGCGATTGCATATTTCAATACATTACGCAGTTCTTCAATCAACAACGATTGTCGGAATTAACTGGGGAAAAAAATGAAGGAAAAAAAAGAAAAGGACAACAAAAACAACACCAATGACAGTCAATCAGTTACTCCCTGCGAATTTTTCCGTAAGCTATGTATATATATTTTTATGTAACTTCATTCAACAGAATTTTGAACGCAGCTGATGGACAAACGCAAACGCAACCGAGACCAATTCTGCATTGGTCAGTGTATGTACATTTTATTTGTATTTCCCATTATTTTCGCAAGTTGCTGAGTCCACCATGTCATCCCTTTCCCAGCAAAATGTTTAGAGAAGATACAACTGAAACTAGTCACTGGAGAGCTGGACTGTGAGAAACTCTGTCCTACACCATGCAGGTAAATTGGTCTTATGCGTCATTGCGTCAAACTTCACCACCAACCCCGGTTTGAACGAAATTTTTTCGAGCCTCTCTCACCGCGTTATTTTTACGTGGGTATTCTTTTCATCTTAGCTGCTTTGGAAATTTGTCCATGACAAAATTTACAATTTGCATTTTCAAACTGAGGCTTGGTGGTGAAATTAGCCATTCTGTTGACAGCGTGCATCAGGGCTATTTCGCATGTGCATATGCTATTTTTGAAGCGAACCCTACTATAATTATAACTGCCTTAATCCTTCTGTTTTGGTTCATGGTGGATTTTCCTAGTCTAGAAAAAAACGCTTATAACTCCTCGAAGAATCCATGGTACTGATAAGATTGTTTTAAATAAAAATACATATCAACGGGGACAACACCACAACACCATGAGCATTAACTCCGCTGAATATTTTGTTCCCAAAGAAGTGCGAGATTTTTAATATAATATGTAACGGTTGCAAATTGATATTGTTTATGTGACATTAGTAACAAAGATATGCGTTGCTCGTTGTGTCCTGTAAACGATGTGTGTGCTTATAACAACTTAATGTTCTTTAAGAAGTAAATATCGCAAAGAAACATGTTTTGAATAGTAATAATCGATATATGTTATTATGTGGTAAAATATAAGGCTTACTAATTGACAACCGTTTTTTTTTTTCTAGAGAAGTCCAATTTGTTACCACACTGTCCATGGGAAATTGGCCTGCCTCTGGATATGAGGTATGAGAGTTTTTGTAAATCTGTTCAGGTTTGTCTGAGATATATTCTAGAGTGAAGTGATCGTGTTAATGATGTTTTATAATTTTTTTTTTCTCTTCCTCAGGCAATCCTTGAGAGCCGTGTGAAGGAAAAAACCGTCTATGCAAATGAATTGTATAGAGGATATTATCTGAGGTACATAAGCTAGTACTGAAGCACATTGAAATAATATCTATCAAATAAGACCTACAGTACCGTAGTATCTTCCCGTTGAGGCATTTAATGATATGACTATTAATTGGCACTTTGCTTTCTTCGTCTCGCAGCGAAAACTTGCTTCAGGTGAAAATATTTTACGAGCAGCTGAACTATGAGAGGGTATCTGAAAGAATAAGCTATGAGGTAAGGCATGCCAGTATATCTGTATTCCTTTGCCTTTCCTTTACGAGGCTATTATTTATACTTGTTCTTCTTAGTGGATTCCAACCACTTAGTTTTCATGGGCATTCCATTGCTACTTAACTACATTATCTTGAAACTTAACTATGTGATTGCAACTTACTCCTCTTAAGCCGAGCCCCATCAACTTTCAACTAGAGCAAACGCGGCACGGGGGAATTAGGTGGAGGTAAAAACCTAAAAGCCCTGTGGTTTATTGTCTTTTGCAAGTATTTTTAAATCTATTGCAAAAAAAACAAGTACTGAAAAAAGTATTTTAATCATTGTCTGTTCAGTCCGACTTACACGATGATTGAGCGATGTGTTTCGTTGTTGTTGTTGTTGTTGTTGTTGTTGTTGATGATGATGATGATGATGATGTTTTTAGCTCTTTTTTTTTGTACGCAAGTGGTTTCAATTTTTTTTGTATGCTTTGAAATGAAACGAGCTTACTTATAATAGGCTTAAGTAAATCAAAGGTGAGAGTTATGCATAACCAAAGTTATATCACTCTCGTTGATAGAACGTTCGTTAACTTCTTGCAGACCAAACTGAATGAAAATGGTGGAGTAAGGTTAGGAGAGGAGAGAGAGAGGAAGGGAGGGGAGAGAGGGGAGTAGGGGGGTGTAGAGGTGTGGATAGATAGTTATGAATTAAATGTTACCAGCATTTACCTCTTGTTTTGTCAGGGCGTAAATCTTGTTGCTGACATCGGAGGCCAACTGGGACTTTGGATCGGCATCTCAGTGCTAACGTGCTGCGAGTTTGTGGAGTTAGTTGTCATGATAGTGCAAACTGCCCTTGATCGTATTTCAAGACGAAAGATAATTCATGTACAGCCCTAAGGTGCAGAAACAGAAAAAGAAGAAATTAAAACCAGTGTCAACTACGTGGCGTTACCGTACCCAAATTCGCAATTAGCCAATCAGAAACCCTGTCTGTCCTGATATCCTGCGATATTTGATATGACTACGATATCATGCTCATTGGGCCGAGTTTGGGTATGATAATGCCTAATTGTACCTTTTGGTACGCTTCAGCGAAATATCAAGCTTGTTTTGTCCCACCATGGGTATTTTGGCTCGACTACTTCTCGCCAAAATACGAACCCTGGCTCGACCAAACTTGCCCGATATGTCGCCGAAGTGTACCAAAAAAGGTACGATCGGGTATAATTATAGGTGTTATGTAGTTATTTAATAGGCAATATAGCGCTTTTCATCTGAGTGTCGAAAGTAATTTGCTTTTGCTTTGGCTTTGCATTTCAACGCTTAGCGATTGGCTTAAAAACACCTACGCCACTTAGTCATCCAATCAGAAGCAAAACCAAAACTAATCGTTACTCTCTTACCCCCGTTTTTCCGCGCCTCGGGTCAGCTACATGTATTTCTATATGTTTCCAGTTTTGATTGGTTCACTGGATTGTCTGCGTCTTTTACGATTCGCCAAAGTAATTACTTCCGTTTTTGTTTTACGACATTCATTTTAGGATTTTGTTCGTCTGTTTGTCTTTTCTTTTTCCTTTGTTAATCGCCCACGTGCTAATGTTTCATTATTGAACAGGCCAATAATAACCATCCATATAAGCATATAGAAAACGATTGTTCCAAAAACGACTGTTCATATATATATTAATAAATTTCAGTTCTGAAATGTAGTTGATGTCTCCTTGTGTATCGTTATAAATGAAAAGGTTAACATACATGTACTAGGTACCAGGGTTCTGCGAATCATTAAAGTATACAAATAAAACAAAAAAAACCTTTTTGTAGTCTGTTTACTTTAAAATCGTACTCTGTCCGGAATTTATGTGATAGCGTGGCTAGAGGGAGTTATAGTAGTGATCACGATATGCAAATGAATGGTCAAATGGAGAAGAGGAGACCTATTTGACCTTAATTCCAGTCAAATTCACTGTACAAGTGCAGTGCAAATCGTATCCCTGTATGTGATCAAAATGATTGCATGCGATCTTGTTAGACGTCTTTTGACCATTGTTGCTCATGGAAAGTCAACAGACGCGTAGCACAATCGCAGGTATGTAGTAAAGTGATTCGGATCAACATTCGATGGGATACTAATCTCGTTAGAGAATGATTCCCTCAACGTTTTATTCGTCATTACTCTTTTATACACCTGTATTTGGTTAATGATTAACTGATTTCGGCATATTTGTGAACAAATTAAGTACAGTTATCGCGTTACCTTTACTTTTGGGCTAACATAGCTTTCTTTTTTTTTTCCAGAATTTTGACAAAGGTATTCAATTTTTAGTGCCCAAGGGTCTTGTAGCTGTTTCTTTATCCCTTGCACAAGTTTTGATGGGTCAACTGTTCCTCTGCGCCATTTAGCACGACCGTAGCAACCGCATTTTGACATCCAGATACGCCTAATTTTCTGTGTTTTAATTCTTCTTATTTCCAGTTTTCTGAAGCAGCATTCGAGAATTAACACTTATTTTTATTCCATTGCCTTTTGGGATTAATTTATCATCAGTTTGAGTAATTGGTGGTATTATCACGTTCCGATAAAATGTTAGAATCCAAAATGATTGACCTTCCAAAATGGTGGAATTAACGACGTCTTATCAAATGACGTCATACGACCCCAAGACCAAAAGATAACATCACACTCAATCTCCTTCGCAGGCCTTCTCTATTCTTTGTAGAGCTGTATGATAGCTAACCATTAAACGCAAAATCACTTTGATAGCCCTATGAAAATTGCATTGGAATCAAAAATCGACTGGTCCTGTCGAACAGTTTTTTTTTTGTTTCTTTTTTTAATATTCGTTATTGTTTTCCCCCAAAAGCACCTAGACTTATCAAGAGCAGATCACAATATTGGAGCATTCACTTTTACTGCAATTTAGAATTCCAGCCTTTAATGCTTTCAAAACTAAGTTATTGACGAAACAACAGCATTCGACTATGTCTGTCTGCCAAAAATAAGATTCTCGGATGGCCGACTAAGTGACATAATTTCCCCGCCCTCGTGTGTTATCATAACTGACATAGAGCTCTTGTCTTACACTGCAAGTTAAAAAGCTATCTGCTACAGGCAAAAAGATAATAGTGCGGCTCCTTGTTCATTAAATATTGTATTGTAGAGTTGCTTCCAAATGTTCAATGTAAGGTCTGCTCGTAGCATGTTTAACATTGCACTTTTTGTGAGCTCAATTATGCTCGAAATGGATTCAAAACCTTCCATTTCCGTGTCATGTAATCATAGACATGCAGGCAGACCACAAAGAACATGATGTGGTCATCCTGGAAACAAGACATACAATGTAAACGGGAAAATGAAACAGGTAAACAAATTTGGCTTATCTCAAAGATAGGACTGCGGTCATAAATAAGTAAAATCTCATATTTCTTTAAGAACGACGCGATTGGCCCGTTATCGTAATTACGGAGAATCGCTGTGATAGCCTAAATCAATTCATTTTCAACGGGCTAGCGGTCTCATAAATGCTTGAAATTACTTTTTCTCTTTTTCTGTAAAGGACTATTGACAGATCCCCCTTACTTACTGGTAAGCAAGCTTTATATAATATCGACTGAGCTTTCATTTTGAACTATCGTACCCTTTTGTCAAATGCATCCGTAAGATTTAGTTCTTTCGTGGGGCCAGTAATACAACAAGATTTCTTTATCACGCCAATCGTAACCCTCGCTTAAGGACGGATTGTTATTTTTTTCAACAAATACTTCAAGAGAGCATCATTTGAAGACTTTTGCATGGTACAAGTAATAAAAACGTGTAAGATTGTACGTTCCCATTCCAAACAAGTCAGTAAAGCATGGCATTACTAGGATACTTGTATTGAAACAGTCAGTATGCCTGCAGCTGATGTCATATTTATTTGTTAACATTTATTTATGTACACGGAGAAATGGAACTGATAATGACGATTTATTCAAACGTGATATGTTTTAAGATCTAGATACTTACGTTCCTGGTGAAAACTGAAAGCCTAAGACCTTTTGTTCACATGTACTTAGGCTGAGATGTATCACGCAACTTTCAGATTTAAAAGGTGTAGAAAACTTTAATGATCGCTCGATATTGCACTTGACAACAGACGACGAAAACAGCTTCAAGGAATGCATTATTATTTTTATTTTTTATATATATAGTTTTAAGTCGAAAGAAAGCGAGAACATAAACGACTTTCGAAACCCGCACGTTTTTTTTGTTTTTTTTTCTCGGTTCTCTAGAACATCCGGTTTACAAGCTCTGAAACTTCGCAAAAAGCCTGCGGCATGGCAGGTGACGTTTCTTATGAAGTCAAAAAAGACAGCAAGGAGAGGCAAACACCTAAGGAACTGGTAAAAGATTTCTGCAGCTACACAACTACACATGGAGTTGGAAGACTGGCTGAGGCCAAAACGCTGTTCAGCCGATCGATATGGACAGTTTTTATCCTTGGAGCCTTCGCTATGTTCTTCTATCAGACGTACGGTTTGTTTACTTTATACCTAAGTCGTCCTGTATCCACGGTGGTGAAAGTCAGGCACAAAACGGTGGGTAAACACATTATGCAAAGTGGCTCATAACTTTTTTAACTGTTATTACCAGATTAATGAATTGGCAAAGAACACATTGGAGGCAATTAGAAAGAGTTCACATGACGTCTGGGACACATATTAAACATTTATTCGTAATAAGTATACTGCATTGAAAGGTATTGATGTTTAAAATTACCCGACCTTTACAACAATGTGACTGTCAAGTTTACTTTTCAGTCACATATTTCTATAAATCTAGCTGCGAGGCGTAAATTCAAAACAGGAGCATTAAAGGGCCCCGCAGTCAGCGACGCTTTTGTTTTTGTTCACATGCGAAAGTTTGGCTATTATATTTAATTCGCAACATGTCGAAACGAAGAAAACAGTCACTGTGGAAGTCTAAAGATGATTAAACATACCTTCAGAAACACAACTTACAGTAAAGCAATAAGATCTCGCTTCACCATGCCATGTCAATAATTTCGATGCATGGCATTGAAAATGGGGGAGGGTGACTTGGGTCCTTTAACTTATAACTTGGCAACGAACTCGACTCGACAGTCCGAGAATAAACTCCAGAACTGTTGAAAAATATATACTATATATACTGTCCATACTTTTCTTTTTATTTTGTCTATTCGAAAATGTTGCCAATTAATGGCGACAAAACTCGTATACGGAGTCTTGCTGGGTTATTCCCCACAAACGACTTGCCCGCATCGCCAGGCGTACGGAAGGGTTATCGCGGAGTATTTTCAGCAAATAAAACATTTAAACCAGTCTTCCTGAAATGTCCAGTTTTAGCCCTTTTTAAATTATTTCCGGATATGACTTATTTCCTCAAAGGAGACGGGATTTTAAAGCTCGATCAGAGAACAAAGACACTTACTATACTGAGCAATACAAAATAGTAGTCTCAAAAGTAAACTGAAAAGATAAAATATACTACCGTTTACTACTATACTACTTTTTTTACTGCGTTGCTCGTTCCTAGAGAATGATCTCAGCCATTAATTTTTTTTTTTCGTGATCAGATTTATAAACATAAACATTTCGTTGAATGCCCACCATAAATTGAATATCGTGAATGAATGCAAAAGCCAATGAGCTAAGCGTTGTTTAAGTTCAAAAAAGGAAAACAAAAGAATACAAAGATAGAGCTTAGTAGGAGTCTAAGAAAATCGGCCTTTATTGATTATCGGCCAACAACGGGCGACAAAAGCTGTCGTTTTGTTGAAATAAAACAGTAGCAGTAGTACAATGACATAGCCAGACTCACCAAAGGCATTTTTCAATGGGAGAATCGTTGCTGGCATCATTGTTTACACTTACGACTTTGCACAGAGAAGGCATCCTGCTAGACGCGAATTGACTACAGAAATCTGAAAAGCTCATGAAACTTATTAAACGGCCGGTGAAAGTTCTGGCTATTAGGGTGTAATATTCGAGAAAAAATTGGCTTTCAAATAAATGCAAAATTTCTTGGTGGCA